CCAGCCACCAACCACCAGCCAACCACCAACCAACCAACCAACCAACCGCCAACCGCTGACCGACAACCAACCACCACCAACTACCAACCACCAATTGTCCGCTCCTGTGTCTGGTGAAGTTGTTAACATGTGGGGTCATCAATCGGGTCCTATAATCTTTACATGAAAAACATCTCCCAGGAGCATCCGCATTGTATTACTTTCGTGTCTCGTCACTTGAATAAGGTGATGTGTCTCTTTCTGCCCGAGCAGATGTGTAGTTTGCGCCGTGGTGACAAGATTGCTCGCATCCTGGATTGGCAAAGCATCGAAACTACAATCTGCCCACGTGTCTCTAAGAAATATACCAGCGCCAAAACACTCCATAGTAGTTCCCGGGCAAGAAGAAATTGACCTATAGGAGTGTCCCGGTTCTTTCCACCATGCGTGTCCCTCGTGTCCCTCAGTCAGACGCGTGGGTGATGAGTGATGAGTGAAGCATAGCTCTAGCTCTAGCTCCACTAAAGCTAACTGGAGCTAGAGACGTTAACTATGATGCGATAGCTTGTCTAGACACGAAGCTAATCAGCTCAAATTTGTCAACCTCTCAAAACACGTGTTTTGAGGTCGCCAGTTCTGAGCTTCCAGCTCCCCGCGTACTAAAGTTGTACTACACAGTCGCCAGTTCTCAGCTTCCAGCTCCACAGATTGCTCCGCGCACTAAAGTTGCACTACAAAGTCGCCAGTTCTCATCTTCCAGCTCCCCAGATGCTCCGCGCACAAAAGTTGTACTACAAAGTCGCCAGTTCTCATCTTCCAGCTCCACAGATTGCTCCGCGTACTAAAGTTGCACTAGAAAGTCGCCAGTTCTCATCTTCCAGCTCCCCAGATGCTCCGCGTACGAAAGTTGTACTAGAAAGTCGCCAGTTCTCATCTTCCAGCTCCCCAGATGCTCCGCGTTGTACTACAAAGTCGCCAGTTCTCAGCTTCCAGCTCCACAGATTGCTCCGCGCACTAAAGTTGTACTACAAAGTCGCCAGTTCTCATCTTCCAGCTCCCCAGATACTCCGCGCACTAAAGTTGCACTACACAGTCGCAAGTTCTCAGCTTCCAGCTCCCCAGATTGCTCCGCGTACTGAAGTTGTACTACAAAGTTGCCAGTTCTCAGCTTCCAGCTCCACAGATGGCTCCGCGCACTAGAGTTGTACTAGAAAGTCGCCAGTTCTCATCTTCCAGCTCCCCAGATACTCCGCGCACTAAAGTTGCACTACAAAGTCGCCAGTTCTCAGCTTCCAGCTCACAGATTGCTCCGCGTACTAAAGTTGTACTACAAAGTCGCCAGTTCTCATCTTCCAGCTCCGCAGACGCTGTGCCTGCAACGAAATCTGCACATGGAGGTTCACAAAGTGCTATGCCTGCCACGAAAGCGCTGTGCCTGCCACGAAATCTGCACATGGAGGTTCACAAAGTGCTGTGCCTGCCACGAAATCTGCACATGGAGGTTCACGAAGCGCTGCGCCTCGCACGAAATCTGCACATGGAGGTTCTCCAGCTCTCCAGTGCCTGCCACGAAATCTGCGCATGGAGGTTCACAAAGCGCTGCGCCTGCCACGAAATCTGCATGTGGAGGTTCACAAAGTGCTGCGCCTGCCACGAAATCTGCGCATGGAGGTTCTCAAAGTGCTGCGCCTGCCACGAAATCTGCACATCATGGAGGTTCGCAAAGTGCTGCACCTGCCACGAAATCTGCGCGTGGAGGTTCACAAAGTGCTGTGCCTGCCACGAAATCTGCACATGGAGGTTCGCAAAGTGCTGCGCCTGCCACGACATCTGCGCATGGAGGTTTACAAAGCGCTGCGCCTGCCACAAAATCTGCACCTCGAGGTTCAAAAAGTGCTGC